AAGTAGATTTATCCAGACAAGTAAAGCGTTTTTTCCAGTGTGATGAAGCATGAACATTGTTGTTGATTTGTTTCAGTCATGTCTGACTCTTTGTGACCCCATTTGGGGTTTTCTTGGTAAAGATACTGGAGTGGTTTGCCATTTCCTTCTGCAGCTCATTTTACAGATGAGGAAACCTTCCTGAGTCCAGATCTGGCACTCACTCCTGCCTCAAGCATGATCATTATCAAATCATATTTATTGGGCATTAACCTTTCCAGGTAAGAGGCCATGAGGGCCTAAACTTGGTTGGTGGTCATTTGCATGGAGAAAAGGGACACATATGAGAGATGGGGTAATAGTAGAATTGACAAGATATGGCAACTGATTGGATATGGGGAAACGGAGGCTGGGTCTCTATACCACCCACCCATATTTTCTGTTATGGGTCATGATCCAGAGGCAGTCCCTTCAGTCAATAGCTCATTTGGCCAATTTAGTGGACTGGACAGACAGTTGTCATGAAGGACCCCATCTTACATATGGAGATGGCCTCAGTAGAGAGTCATTTCTTGTTCTAATGAAAAGACTGAAAATAAACGTGCAGACACTAAACCTTTCAGTCTGTTAAGAAGAGTTGAGAGGCAGTGTGATATAGTGGATAGGGGAGGGTACTGGACTTGGAATTAGAAAAACCAGGTAATTACAAGTTCCGTGATGCTAAGTAAGTCACTGAAATCCTCTGTGCCTCAGTTTTCTCATCCATAAAATAAAGACTTTGGATGTGATGACCTCTAAAGTTTCTGCCAGCTCTGAACCTGTGGTCTTATGATCCTATTCAAAGGAGGGCCATGAGCCAGATTAACCCCTTTGAGGCAATTGCTAATCAGTCACCAGAGTTGTACTGGTTAGTCTTGGGAGCATAGATTTAGAGATGAAAGGGACTTAGGGATCATCTAGTACAACCTCCTCATTACACAGATGAAGAAAATGATACTGAGAGAGGAAAAAATAATAATACAGGTAGTAGAGCCAGGCCTCAAACCCAGTTCTTCTGTCTCCAAATGCAGTGCCCTTTCAGCAACACCATATGAGTCTTATATCAACCGTAATTTTCCTGAAGGAAATGGAAGCAGCTAGGATGGTCCTATCTGACTATCTAAGGCCAGATTTGAACTCTGATCTTTCTGACTCCAGGCCCAACACTCTATTCCAACGGACCACCTTCAGGGTGGGGAACCTGTGGCCTCAAGGCCTTATGTGGTCCTCTAGGTCCTCAAGCCCTTTGACTGAATCCAAACTTCACAGAACAAATCCTCTTAATAAAAGGTACATTAGTAGGTGCTTAATAAATGCTTGTTCCCTCTTCTGGCAATGGAAACTGCCAAGGCAATTATGTAAGACAATCAGCCTTCTACAGACATTCCTTCTATGCAAATATTTCCCCTAACTGCCCATAGAATCCCAGGATGAAAGAACTTGGGAGTCAAAAGGTTCCTAGGAGTTCACCTAGAGCTGAGCTCTAACTAATAATACTTAATAATAATAACTCATCAGGGGTAGCATGGTGTAGTGGATAGATAGTTGACATCAGAGTTAAGAATTGGATTTAAGTCCTGTCTCTGATCCACACTGGCAAATCACTTAACCCCTCTACCCAAGCAACTCTCGAAAACCACAGGTTGTAGAGAAGGTGCCAGTCTACGTTGGTAAGTTTCCAGGAGTTTCCATACTGGGAGTTCTTTATACTAGTGAAATCATAAGTCTAGTCCAAAGACAACAATCACTCACATTTCTACAGTGATGGAAGGTTTATAAAATGTTTTTTTTTTTATCACAACTCTGTGAGGAAAATAATACAAATATTATTGGCCTCTTTTCAGGTGGGGAAACTGAGGGCCGAGAGAGGCTAAGATTTAAACAGCGCTATTTGCTAGGCACTGTGTTAAGGGCTTTACCATTAGTATCTCATTTTACCCTCACAACAACCTTGGAAAGGTAGGTGCCCTCATCATCCCCATTTTACAGGTGAGGAAATTGAAGCTAACAGAGATGGTGTGACCTGCTCAGGATCACACAGCTAGTAAGCGCCTGAGGTCATATTTGAGTTCAAGTCTTCCTGAGTATGTGCCTAGCACTCAATCTACTTTGCCACTTAGCTGCCCCAATTACATAGCTATTATGCTGTAGAGCTGAGACTTGAATCCAGAAAGTAAATCCAAAGACTAAATCACATTCTAGGGCTCTTACAGTAGTAGCAGTAGCAGTAGTAGTAGTAATAGCAGTAGCAGCAGCAGCAGTAGTAGTGGTAGTAGTAGTAGTAGTGGTAGTGGTAGTAGTAGTGGTAGTGGTAGTAGTGGTGGTAATGGTGCTGGTGGTAGCAGCGGTAAGTGTAGGAGCTCTTTTAGGTTTTCAAAGTATATCACATGTTATTTGTACCTGCAGCTAAAAATGATTTTTTTTATATTTGTAAATAAAGGTTTATTGCATTTAAAACCATAAAAAAACATTCTTAGCATCCTGAAGACTCTAGTCTAGTCAATAAACAAAAGTTCAAATTAAGCCCTGATTATAGAATTGTTGATTTCTAAGGTGTAAAGTTCACCTGAAAATTTAACAACCAGTTCTCCCTAGCAGATAGGTGCTAACTTCAGTACACCACTAGACCCATCTCTTCCTTTTTGTAACTTTTATCCATTGCCCCCTAGTTCTGTGCTCTGGGGCCAAGAAAACAAATAGAAGAAGAATTCTTCTTCCACAAGAAAACCCTACAAATACTTGAAGACAGTGATCAATGAAGCAACCTACCCCCACCCCTGCTTCTCTTTTTCAGGTGCGATATTCTCAGATCAATTGATGTTTGGCATTAGAGACAATTGCCCATACATCTGGATTCTTCTGGAAGCACTCCGGCTTGTCAATGTCATTCCTAAAATGTGGTATCCGGAATAAAATACAATATTCTAGATGTAATGTGACCAGATCAGTGTATAGCAGGAGAATCAGCAACTCCCTAGCCCCCAACCTCTTTAAGGAAGTTATATCCCTCTGAACGAGGTCTATAACTGCACACTTTGACTCATATTAAGTCAACACACCAAAATCCCCAACTCTTTTTTCACAGGAACAGTCACCCGGACATAACTCCCCACTGTTTACTTTTTTCTTTTAGAGTTGTTTTAAAAAAAAATTGGCCCAGGCATAGGACTTTATGTTTATTGCTATTAAATGTTACCTAACTCAATATGGTCTACCATCCTAGACTGCTAAGATTTTTTTTTTACATCCTGACTGTTTCCAAAGTGTTAGCTATCCCTCCCAGCTTTGGGCATCACTTTATCATTTCACTGCTCTTGTCTACACCCTTTCAGCCTTCCCTTCATTCCATCCCTACCATTCACCCCAACACAATTTCTTCTGTCCCTGTTCAATCCATTTCCTTCTCCAAAACGATCACCTCATTTTCAAATCTTGACCATCTTGTTTAATTCCCTCATTTGACAGAGGAGGAAACGGAGCCCCAAAGACAGTAAATGACTTGCTCAAAGTCATATGGCAAGTTAGTGGCAATGGCAGTCTGGACCCCAGGTATCCCAATTCCCAGTCTGATACTCCTAAGGTTGATGCTTTGTCCTCTGTCCCACCTGGTACATGGATGACACTTGCCATTGATTGTTGACATTTTAGTCATCTCTGCAAATGAAATTGATCTCATATTCAACAAGAGTTTCTTAACTATCTGAGTATTTCAAGCTAGAACTAATTTGGGACCCTAAATAATCTAGGTCATTGTCTCAATTCTCTACTTCATTTTGCAAAGGGAGGCATAGACAGACTACCTTTTACTTTACAAGAAGAAAATTTTAATTAACCAAACAGTTATTTTGTCTTCTCGGGGCTAAACTCCTGGTTGTATTGTTTCATTTTGTCCCCAACTGGCAAATGCTTAGCTGTAATAGTGTGGATACAGCTTCAGTCCTGAGTATCTTTTCAAAGAGCAGAACACATCATTCTCTAAAGCTTTTTCAAATAACTAAGCCTCATACTAAGGCACCATAGAAACAGGCTGAGTGCTCCTTTCTTTTCCACTTTAACCAAACTCATCAGGGACTCTACTTACCTAGATTTGCCTACTTTAAGAGCAAACTCGTCAGAGACCATACTTACCTAAGTTTGCCTACCTTATCTCCCATGCCTTTGACCTTTAACCCTATTGCTCAGTCAACAAACTGACCTGCTGTCGGACTTCATGGGGGGGGGGGACACCCAGATAGGGTCGGTTTGTGATCACCCTGGGCTTTTTGTTTTGATTGGTTTCTCCGATAATGAAGTGCCATAATTAATCGTGTGAAGCCAGAGCTGAACCTTGACAATCACCTAGTTCAACCTGATCATTTTAAAGCTGGAAAAACTAAGGCCCTGAGAAGGAAAGTAAGTATATAACAGAATTGGTATTCAATTTAAAGAGATCTGAGAAGTAGAAACTAAAAAAAAATTACTTTGTTTTATTCTTTTAACCCTCTTAATATTTACAAGGAAGGAAAAAATGAGATTGGCTTACAGATTTCTTGGCAAATGAAGAGAATATTGCTTTCTGAGCACCTATCAGATAACAACCTTCTCCCCATCCCACCCCACCCCCCAACTGCTAGAACAGCTGTTTACAGTACAGATGGAGTTATCTGGTTCACAGTGGTCTTTTGACACGCTGACTGGTTGATGAGAGGCTGATCAGCCCTGGCTCCAGATCTCACTGATGCTGACTGAGAAAATAGCCTTCACCCCCTCCCTTCCCCTCCCCATTCCCTCTCATGACAATAATTATCTTAAATACCCCCAGTAGGCCGCTGAATGTGCTTTTTGTGAATATTGCAGAAGTCATCCACTCAGTGTTCCTCACAGCCTTTCCAGGGAGGCCATCTCCCCTATGGGAAGCTTTCCTCTCCAGGAATCCAGGGAACCTGGAAGGATCTTCACTAGATCAGGGTGGTCAGTGCTTTCCAAGGGTCACTCACCTGGAGCTAGATATAGCTGAAAACATTAAAAATGGGAGGAGGAACCCCTGGCTTTGTGGGGATAGGTTTCAAGACCACTGGTCTGTAAACTTTCTGGCTCGGGCTACCAGGCTCCTTGCAGAAATGGCCCATCTCCCCTGGGGAAGATGGACTTTTTCTCCAAAGCCCCAGGCCTGGCACAGGGGACTGAGGCAGACCTCCTGGGCTCTGGTAGATGGGTTGTCCATGGTATTGGAATGGACAACAACTCCAGGCACTCATCCGGCCCATGAGGGAGGCTGAAGGGACCTTTGGAGATTCCTTCTCTGCCCTGGGAGAAGCAGGTACAGGTGCAGTCTCTGAACCCAAGGTCTCGGGTCTCTTTTTGCTTTTTTTTCCCTCATAGGCAGGAACCTCCCTATGGACTGAGAGCCCATCTAACCCTCCAGAGTAGCTTTGTGCAGGCCGGGGTTCTTCCCAGAAGGAAGCAGGCAGCTGTCTTTTCCGCATAGGTACTTGGTCTGGCCTGCAGGCCTCTGGGATTTGCTCTTGAAGGGTCTGCTCTTCAGGAAAATTCTCTTCCATTCCTGGGTTTCCTGGGCCCTTCTCGGTGCTGCCATTAGAGGGGGTGCGGCAACGGCCATCCTCAGGCCCCCTTTTTGAATGAGATTCTCCAGATCTACTGGGGTAGCATCTTGGCAGCCGGGAGTATTTCTGAGAAAATCGCTTGAGCTGTTTCTGCAGGTACTTTCTGTGGTCTACAGAGCGTCGGCAAGGGGCAGACTTGTCCAGGGCAGCTTTGATGTCACTGGAGGCCAGGTTCACGAAATTGAGTAGCATCTTCACCTCACTGTCGGATGCCATGTCCCTGGGTGCACCTCCCTGAGATTTCCATGAAGAGCTGCTATTCCCTGGCCGGCAGCTTAGCAGATGGACAAAGGGCAGACCTAATATCAAAATGATAATAACAATAGTAATAGTGATAAGTAGTAGCTGGCATTTGTATCACTTTTAAAAGTTTTCAAAGTGCTTTACATGTATTGTCTCCTTTCAGCAAAAAACCGAGGCCATTGATAACTGTGGAAAGCACATGACAAACCAGACCTGGAGATGCTATCTCTGGCAGGCGCCCACCCACCATACACACTTGCCGACTTCCCTGGTGGGCTAACACCTAAATGCCTAACCAGCAAACTTTCCTTCATTAACATTAGCATCTGCAGCATTTAGAACTTATCCTGGCTTTTGAAAGTGATGCATCCCCCTCCCCCAACGCCATTCTCCTTTCACTCCCCCTTCACAGCATCTCAATTTTCCCCTCCAGTCCCTCCAGAAAACGCGCCTCTTATTCTCACCCCCCCCCCCCACTATGCGCATCTCCCTCTTATTCTCACACCCTCTTACAGGGCACCAATCATTTCTCTCCCATTCCACAAGTCTCCATCTTTCTCTCGATTTTCTCACCACAGCCCAAACTTAATTCTCCATTCATAACACCCTCTTATTCTTCCTGTCTCCCCTTCACATCCACTTATTCTTCCACCCCAACTCACTACATCCCTATTCTCTCACCCCCCAAAGACCCCATTCCTTCTCATTTGTCCGCTCCCTACAACCCCGATTATTCTTTCTTCCATACCCTCACAACACCGCCCCCCCACTTTCTACTTATAACCGCCAATTAACACCCCCCCCCCTCCATCCTCCTCCTGTCTACCATCCTGAA